TATGCAGAGGATACGGTGGTGCAAACATACATAACCAAACCAACCGGGATTGGTTTGGTGGCCTCCACAGCAGTCCTCTTGGTAGGGTTTAGGGTCTAGGGATCACTGGGGGAAACGGTTCGATCTAATCACACAAGGGTTAGATCGGTAAGGCTTTGCTCAAAGCGGGCGGGTGCAGAATTCAGTCACAGTGGAAAGTAGAGGCAACCACTTCATCCGGAACAGATGCAGGGCCCTGAGGATACTATTTGTTCAGCGCCTTGATGCTGTTTTTGATAGATCCCTGCAGGTAAATGCTGGGAAGTATGCGGGAGTGATTGGGTCAATAGAAGGAATCTAGTTTTTGAATCCTTCAAGGGTCGGGGTTGCGGAAGAAGGCATGCGCTTAATCGATGCGAGTTAAGTCATCCTTGTTCAGCACGTAGTTTCCAAAAAAACGGGGTCGCGCAAAAATACCCTGAAAATACTGTAGCCCTTCAATCCTTAAGCCTCAAACCTTAACCCACCCAAACCCTAATTATTTTCAAAACATTGAAAACCCCAAACACCCAGGCACTAGTGAGGGGCCTGTTGTTGTGCATCTCTGCGGAGTGCCAACTGTGGCCCGCGGGCCATTCTACTCAACGGAGCCTAACAAACCCTCAAACCAGCAAAACATGAAAACATCTAAAACCGTTAACCCTAAACCGCAATTGTTGGAAACCACCACCAGGAGAAGATGGCTGAGATGCAAGAGAAATATAGTCCGGGAGCCCAGTGTCCCAAGGGCCCAGAATTTAGGGTTCAGGGTTTAAGTTTTGTTCGTGTTCAAGGTTCAGGATTTAGGGTTTATACTGCGGAAGGACGAAAGTTCGACCCACTTGTTGCAGACATTTACAAGCAGACCCCTTCTCCCCCATAGACTCCTCCACTGAGCATTTTGGGGTCTTCGCTGGTACCTTAAAGTAGTATTAACTTTAACTGAGAACAGCGTGTTAATTTACTCCGCAACATGGCCGACATGGCCCATCCTGCGTACTCTTTTTCCGCATGTTGAGCCTCCTCACAAGCCCGAGGCTTCAGTCGGTCGAAACTATATTCCTGGCGACGTAGTGTTCACGTTTCAGGTTTTTTGTTTCGGGCCGAGGGCCCAGAATTTTGGGTTTAGGGTTTGTTGTTACGGGTTGAGGGTTCATGGTTTTGGATTCCGGTTCCAAGTCTTAGGGACGAGGTACCAAGTGGCTGGGTAGCGGGAAGTGCTTGCGAAACTGTTGATAACAATTACCCAAGCTAGGTTCCTGGCCAGGAATTCAGGCAGTTGGGGTTTAGGGTTTAGGGGTTTATGTTTGAAGGCTTAGGGTCTAGGGGGTCATGTTTGAGGGCTTAGGGTTGTGGGTTTAGGGATGATGTGTTAGTTAGGGCTTAGAGTTTTGGGGATTATGTTTTAGGGCTTAGGGTCCAGGGTTTAGGGTTTTCTGGTGCCATGCTGCGGCTTCTATCCCACAGCCATTTCCACATATCTTTCAATCTTGCTGGTGTCCATGCATCACCCTGCAAAATCCATCCTCGCCTGAGTATGAGGGTTGGAACTTGAGCCTTCCGTGCTAGTGCTTGACTTCATGATGCAGTTTAATCAAAACAAAGTAAGTGCGAAGTAGGACAACCCTCATGTAGACCCATTATATTTAAAACCCCCTCCCCTTCAAAAGGAATTTCACAGCGATCCTCAGATTCAGGCCCTTCAAAGGAGGGGGTTTATTAATACGGGCTCTACCTTAACTAGAGTCAGGAATGGTATCTTGAACCGATTTTTCTGCCAGGTCAAAATAGAGATCGGGGTTGTCAACCTTAGGCTCCCGTTTTTTGGGTGCTCATTATTTTACGGTTTAGGGTTTAGGGTGGTTTAGGGTTTAGGGGGGTTTAGGGTTTAGGGTTAGGGGGGTTAAGGGTTTAGGGTTAGAAAAGTTGGTGTATTTCCAGAGGAGACCAGGGCTTTGGGTCTAGGGACGTGCACAAGCCTGCTGCAAAATAGGTTTAAAGGGGTTTTGGGACCATTACATTGACAACCGCCCCCGATATATGCTCCTAGTTGCTAGTTTCCATTTCCTTCTCCGTGTTCTTTGCTACTTGCTTTTCTATTACTCGGCTAACATGTCCTGGACCCCCTTCACCCCCCAACTCTGTAAGTCTTCCTGCAAGTGAAACCTTACAGCCCTGAACCCGAACCCTACACCCGCAATCCCTACACCCTAAAACCCTAATCCAAACCCTAAACCCTAAAGCCGAGAAGCCTTGAACCGCACCTCAAGGCGAGGAAATCGAGACGGAGCGTCGCAAGTTTGAGGCACCGCCTTCGACTTACTGGGGGTTAGTGGAATACAGGGTTTAGGGGTTTAGGGCTTAGGGATTAGGGATTTAGGGCTTAGGGTTTAGGGCTCAGGGTTTAGGGCTTAGGGTTCAGGGTTTAAGTTTAGGGCTTAGGAAAGGGAATCAGGGAATATATTCTATAGCGACAATATAGGGACCATATTCCCTTATTCACGACTACGCAACAGTAAGTCGGCCAGCACGGTGTCAGGGCATAGGTCTTGTACATGAGCGAAGGTGGCTGTGAAACAACACACTGTTAGAGTTTTGGGATTGGGTCTTACTGGTCCTTACTAGGAAAGGAAAATCAATTTTCTGGACCCAAAGGTAGGTAAACTACTGGCCCACAGCCCATGAAAGAAGGCTGAACAGGTGATTTGTGTACAAATTTTGGGGGTTAAGATAGTTGTTCGTTTGAGCTCAACTTGAGCATGTGCTCGTGACACCTAGTTCAGGAATCCATCAACACATGTCTCAACACTGCCCCCCCAAAGAGGAGACAAGTTGGGAAACCTTCGAAGTTTGTAAGTTGTTATTAGGTATCTATTAGGGTCATATTGGGGGGTTATGTTGGGGTTATATTGGGAGAATGGAAAGAAAATGGAAAGTACTATGTAGGGATTGGCACTATACTCAAAGACTTTAAGTTTGTACCCTTAATGTTTGCAACCCTGGGTTTTGGATCCCAAATACCCTTATTGAGGGCCTTATTCCATGGTTTAGGGAGCCAAACCCAAGGGTACAAACCAAAAGGGTACAAAGGAAAATTGTCTGATACACCCGCAATGCTGTCAGGCAATGCAATGTATGTGGTCGACAGAATAGAACTAGCTACTGACCCAACGTAAAAACAATTCATAAAGGAATTTTGGTAAACCCAACCCCCAAAATATTAAGGATCCTATACGAAGACCACATGATTACTGTTGGGTCTCATTTTGGGGTGTGGGGTTGCCAACAACTATGAGCACCCAGTTTCCATGCAATTTTCGATTTGAGTCTCCATTGTAGAGGTTAGGGGCCACCAGAATCCCTAAGCCCTAAATCCTCCTAAGCTCTAAACCCTAAACCCTAAACCCCCAAAAACCCTAAACCCCCCCAAAACCCTAAACCCTAAACCCCAAAAAACCTGAAGCCTAAACCCTACTAACTTTAAAGCCCAAAGCGCATCAGGTACTGAGGGAAGAGAAGGCGGAAGCCGAGATGGAGAATGCCGCGTGTCACACGGTTTAGGGTTTTCTGGGTTTAATATCGGTGGGTTTAGGGTTTAGGGTTGGGGGTTGGGGTTCAGGGTTTAGGGTTTAGTTTAGGGTTTAGGGGTTTAGGGTTTAGGGGTTTAAGATTGGGGGGTTTAGGGTTTAGTTTAAGGTTTAGGGTTTAAGGTTTAGGGTCTAGGGTTTAGGGTTTAGGGTTTTGGGTTGGGGGTTTAGGGTTTAGGGTTTAGTTTAAGGTTTAGGGGTTAGGGTTTAAGATTGGGGGTTTAGGGTTTATGGTCTAAGATTGGGGTTTAGGGTTTAGGGTTTAGGGTTTCGGATGGTAATAGCCATGGCGGTGCTCATGCAAAGTCTAGTAACAGGATAGTAAGAATGAAAGGCAGTACTGGACTTGAGATTTCGGATGGTAAGCGTAGTCATGTTCGTAAAATGTCTGTGAGTGCTGATAGTGACATGTCGGGTAGGTTTAGTATTGGTACTGTGATTTCTTTTGTCCTATTCCACGATAATTATGACCACTACCTTTCTTATCGTTATTATTACTTGTTTCATGATTATCATTTTTACTATTCCACTGCTCTCCTTGCTCCGCGCGATTTTGGGGATTCCTGGACTTTCCCTTGTGGCGGTGTGTTACATGTCCTTTGGGGTTTAGGGTTTAGGCCTCTACTTGGAGGTTCAGCGGGACTTGATAAGTATATTCGTAGCTCCTTCAAATCACATAACAACCCCAGTTCTGACTCTACTTACTAAGTCTCCCTGACCCTAAGGGTCTTGAATCCGATGAGACTTGGCCATTGACATTCACAGCGTAGCACTGAGGTCCTATACCCAGGGTTCTGCTGAATAACACGTGTGCTTCGAAGTGTTCTGCGGCTTGAACAATTCCAGGTTGGCATTGAACAATTCCAGGTTGGCATTAGGAACGCATGTGAGCTGACTCCTGATGGCTCTTGAGGCAGATTTTGAGCGCCCCGATCCCCAAAAAAACACCCTGTGGCCATCTATGACCATCATATGACTGCTCATGGTAAGGGTTCAGGGATACCAAAGAGCTGTTGTGAAACAGTGTTGACAGTTGAGCTTCATCAACATGCCGTAGCTTGACGGTGCCTCTGAGCTCTAATCCGGAAGCATCCTGAATTCCAGGCCCCAACTCTAGACAGCAATACAGCGCTGTACACCCTAACGTCTTACACCCACACACTCAGGCTAAGCCCCAAACTTGCAAAACACACATGCATCTGGGTTGCTGTGAAGGAATTTAAATTATGTTACAATGAGAAGGAGACCCTATCATGTATTATATATCCCTATTGTGGTAACTTAAACACCCAAACCAAGAACCCAAGAGTGTATACCCATAATCTGGTACATTAAGCTCCTTAGCAGCAACCTAGTCATCGAAACCCTAAACCTATTGCCATTCATTGGACTCAGGAAGAACATATCAAGAATCTTGAAGAGAAGCACGCCCGGGACTTGCAAGAGCAGCGGCCTGGCAGTACCCCTCGAGAATCCTGAAAAAATAGGTTTTAGGCGTATCGTCCCCCTGAAGTAGATAGAATATGGGGTATTTGGGATCTTATTAAAATATACCCAAAGCCATATTCTATTTACTTAAGGGGGACTATAACCCCAATGTATACCTTAGTATAATAAAGTAGTTTCCATTTTCTTTTTCCACTATCCCTAAATAAGCCGTAGAAAGCCCAAGGGTTTAGGTCCAGGGTTTAGGGCTTAGGAACTAAGAACCCCGAAGCAGGTATGGGTTCAAGGGCAGGGTTTAGGGTCAATCCCGAATCCTCCTTCACCCTAAACCCTATAAGCCCTAAGCCCTATAGAACCACATTATACTATAGTAGTTTCCATTTTCTTTTCCATTATCCCAATATCACCTCCCCAGCCGCCTATCAAAGCCCGGGCATTTGATGCTCGAGATGAATGGTTGGAAAAAGCCAGGCGATGAGGAAGTTTAGGGTTTAGGGTACTCGGAGTACCAGCTACTCGTTGTTGATGGTGCCAGTCTGAATTCACATGGGCATGCTTCAGTCATGAAATATGGGGGGGGGAATGCCCAAATGAGGGTTACCTCCCCATACTAAGCATTATCGCATTTTGGGGTTTGTATCGTTTTTTTTTTCTATTCATTGGGGTCCCCTTATTTAGGGAAACGAGCATATTATACCCTACAGCATCAACCTAAACCCTCAAATCTTGGGTCTAAGGCACCAAATCCTAAACCAGAAATCCAGTCTGCCAGTGCAAGTCCTAGACGACGAAGATCTGAAAACCTGGATCTAGAGGGTTTTTAGGATTGTAGGGTGTCAGGATGAAGGGCTTAGAGTCAAAGAGTTTTAGGGTTTAGTGTTAAACCTTAGACTTTTCGGGTTGACGGTTTAGGGTGTTAGAATTCAGGGTTTAGGATTTATGACTTAGAGTTGAGGGTTTGAAGGTGTACGGTTGAGGCGACCCTGTTTTAAGATCTTGCATCCAGCCGAGCAGTTCTCAGGCTATAGTAATCGTACTAACTCGTCTCCTATAGAAAGGGTTACACTGGACCCTACGCCCTAAACACTAGACCCTAAGCCCTATAAACCCTGCAAGAGTGGATGCTGGAGATGTCGTAGTCGGTCGTGGGGCTTCTGTGCTTTGATGGCAAAAGGAACCTCAAGTACCCAAAAATTGAGTGCTGGGGACCAGGGTGACTAGGGTTTAGTGAGTACAGGTTTTGGGGCAGTATATGATTGTTGGGTACTTGGACCCTTAGGGTCAGAGACCAAGCTACGCAGACTTCCTACCAAATGTTTCTTCTCAAATGTGCTCAGCTGAGGCAAGAGTCTTTCGATCAGAAGATGATCGTGGAGGAGTGGCAAGAGCATGATTGGTGCAGAAAGCTGGTGATTTCCATAAACGGAGGCAGACCCTAATGCCAACCCTAAACTCCAAATCCTAAAATCCTTGTTTTGGGGACCGCCAAAAAAAGTACCCCTGATTTTGGGAAACCCACAAGTCTTACACCATTCATGAAGCTAACCCTTAAACCCTGAATAGTAGTTTCCATTTTATTTTCCATTATCCCTATATATCCCCATATAACCACAAGCATTTTTTTGGAAGCCAGTGCCGGCTTCACTTCGGACACTTGAGCTTTCAGGTGCTCACAGGCAAAAGAGGTACAACCCTTCTAAAGCCATAGTCATTTCATTTCTAGGGTTTAGGGTCTAGGGTAGGCCCCAAAGGTATGTAGAATGATGGCCTTTTGGGCTATATTAAGGGGTTTTGGGCTACTATTTTACCTACTTTGGGGGTCCAGGTAGGGTATTGGGCCCCCAAAGCAATCGTAGGTCGACGATCTGTGCCTGCTTCGAGCTCCTCCCAGGCTTAACACTGGGCCCTAAGCCCGAAACCTTCATTATTAAACCTGCTGGGGCTTCATGGGGAGTGGGGCAGTGAATATAGGTACCATTATGCGGAGATACATGGGGATTAGATAGGGATTATGATAGGGATTCACTTACCCAGTCTCCCTTAAGCAATAGTAAATGAACCCGAATCTTCCTTGAGCCCTTGTGTTTTCAGAAAGTACCGGCGCCTTTAAAGGGGATATAGTAGAGGCTATATAGCGGGTATACAGGGTGTACCACGCGGTTTCGGGGTTGGTATACAGAGGTTATATAGTGATTGATGGGATTTCCTGGGATTTTTTTATGATGAAGATTTTACCGGGTTGGAGTCTGTGTTGGCGCCCTTAGTCATCCTTACGAGATCCCGGTGATGCAGGATCAGCGGTACAAGAAGCTGGAGAAAGACCTGGTTGCTTGGCGCAGCTATCTCACACATGCTAAGTTTTTGAGGTGTTTCCATAGTTTGGGGCAGGAAGGCGCTTGAAATATGTACATGGGCGATTGTCAAAATTATGGTCCCTTTTTTTGGTACCCTAAATATTAGGTGCCGTAGTATAATAGGGATTCAAAAAGGGACCATAATTTTGACAACCACCCGCATCACTTAGCTGGAGAAAGCTCTGGCTTGACAAGGTTCGTGTTTTACCTCTTACGGAAGCCAGGGGGCCGAGGGGATTCTGGTATAGGGACTTCGGGATTTTTAGGGTTTAGGGTTTAGGGGTGTGGTTTACGGTTTAAAGTTTAGGGCTAAGGGGCTTCCGGGATTTTAGGGTTTAGGGGTTTAGTGGTTTAGGTTTCAGGGCTTGGGTTAGGGTTATCTTGCCTTCGCCAGGGTGCTGGAGCTTCTTTCCCCAACCGACGGCATTAGGAATCCCCCAACCCCTCCACACTCTAGACCATGAAGGGTTTAGGGTTTAGGGATTAGGGTTTACCCTTAGACCATAGGCCCTAGACCCCTAAACCCTAAACTCTTTGGAGCCTAAACCGAAAAGCCCATAGTTCACCAATAGGTTGACTTACTGCGCATGAGTTCTTGATCAACCCTGAGTAGTTTCCAGTTTATTTTCCATATTATATCCCAATATATACCCTATAATGCTATAGTAGTTTATTATAGCCCAATACCCTGAAACTTTCAAGCTGGACCTGGAGGCCATCGCACGATTTGGGGGTGTTAGGGTGTTTCTAAAAGGATTTAGGCAATTTTATTGTTTCGAGTTTAAGTTGTAGGGTTTTAAGCTTTAGGAATAATCGCGGAGTCTCCAGGAAAAAAACTTGAATTTGGGATCATGTAGGGGCTAGGCACTATGTTCCTTACTATCAAGTGATTCAGGTCATCTCGTTCTTCTGGTTCAACTTTTTACCTAAGATGGACCTAAGAATGTTGTTGGGTTCCACCCCAAAAAGAACACTACTCACCTGTAGTCACCCTTCACTAGATAGAATATGGGATAATGGGATCTTATTACGGCTATGGGAATTCCATATTCTATCTATTTGAAGAATTTCCATATGGGAGGTTCCTAGAATCAGGGCTCCTGTTTTGGGGGGTCTTCAGAATAAGGACTACAGTATTCTGGGGCCTAGATTGGGATTCTCCCCGTTTTGGGATTCTGCCATATATATACCCCTCTTGGTACCTATGCCGTTCTTATCTCTCCACTCACCCTCTCGCACCAGTAAGCCATGCACTGAGGGCAGGGTTGACATGATACAGAAAGCTCCAGCGGAAGAGTGGCATGGTAGTTTCCCTGAAGAGGGCGCACCCCAACATAGACCCCTCAATATTCTAAGCCTTACTATGGGGACCCTTCAAAAAAGAAATTGCCTGATCTCGCATTGCAGTTAGCCAATGTTGGTGCTTCAAAAACCAAAATCCAGATGAGTGTCCTCACCACTCTCTTGGGGTCCTCCAAGGGGAGAATTTAGTCAAAGGTGGGTTAGGCTGCGTTCCTGTTAGGGATTTTCTAGGGATTTGGCGATCTGTGAAGACACATGTGCTTATGCTTCTCCACACCGGCTTTTGTAACACGTGAGCTTTTCCCAAGACTCCTTATTAATTTATGTACGCCCGAGAGTCGCCGTTGCTAGGGAATAAGGGAATATGATCCCTATATTCCCTACACAATCTACTTGGAGGGTCAGGGCGACTTAGTAAATATACTTATAACCCCTGTATTCATATAAGAACCCCAGCTATCCTTATGATTAACCTACTTACTAAATCCCCCTGACCCTCCAAGCAACCCCTCATTCCCCATAAGCAAACTGTCAGGAGCGGGAGAAGCAGGAGTGGGAGACGCAACATGCTGCCCTTCTTGCAGAGCACTCTCAAGTCATCGATCAGATGTGCCTCAACCAAAATTTAGATGTTGGTCTGGTGCAACATGAGCTATGGTCTACACTCCTAGTATCCCCCTTAATAAACCTTATAATACTCCGCTGTATATAACCCCCTTGAAGGACTTTAAGCTATAGCTCATATTGTTGGGTTTAGGGGTTTAGGGTCTAGGGCTTGGGACCTCACATTCCTTAGCTTCTGTAACCGTTGTTGAAGTATGGTACTCAACTTAGACTCTGTGATGGGCCCGAATGCGCGAGAATAGAACGCATGCTCCGGTGCTTAGGGCTCAGGTTTTATGGCTTAGGGGTTAGGCTTTAGGTCGTAGGGCACTTCAGACAGGAGACCTCGATTGAAGCTTCGACTTGGCATCGATGAGGTTGTCTCTAACCATAAACCCTAAGCTTTACAAAATAAACCCTAAACACTAATACCCTAAACCTTATATAACATTATGTAACCCTGCTAAAAGGCAAGTTTTGAACACGGAGACCACTGTACATAATCCAGTTTCCATCACTCATTTCGTTTTCCATTTTCTTCTCCATCATTCCCTATACAGACCCCTATATATCCCCTTAGCCCATTTGAACATTATGGCACCCCAAACCCTATATATGCCCTGTAGCGCCTGGGTAATAGAAGGTAAGGCACTCGAACCTCAAACCCGTAGCCCGTGCTCCCTAAACCCCAAAGCCACAGAACCCTTACCCCTAAGTCTTCAGCCACACCTACTACGGAACCCTTCCATCTCCTTTAAAGAGACCTACCATAGAACCCTTATATCCCCTTCAAAGGGACCTAGAGGTGCACTTAGGGCTTTTTTGCTAAGTCTTCAGCTTCGAAGCCTTGAGTCCACGGACAAGGAAACCCAGTGGTGCCCTTTTCGGGTCAAGACTTCGAGCTTTCTACAAGTAATCTATATAAAACCCCTGGGAGGATCTGAAAATTAGATCCCCGATATAAACCCATGATAAGCCCTATAGAATTCCAGTACAACTTCTCATATGGTTCTAGGGGATGTACTTGTTAGATCCCTTTGGGGGTCTGGGTATAGAGAGAAGGCCCCGTAATCGTATATAGTATGGCAACTCTTTAAAACCCGAGAGATGCTTCAAGACTGCAAGGCACCAGAATTTCTGAAAGTGGAATTTGTGGTTTAGGGTTTATAGGGTTTAGGGCTTCAGATTAAGAACTCTGAACCCTAAACCCCTAACCCTAAGCCCCGCCGAGGAAGCAGGATGCGGAGAAGATCCAGAGGGCAAATCGGGATACCATGGACAGGCACAGTTGGCCAGAGCATTGCAATGTAGGGAAGCCTAAATGGGAGTTTCCCCAAAAATTGGGGGTACCACTTTGGGGTCTCAATAATAAGGACTGTATAGTATTTTGGGGTCTATATTGGGGTTCCCTTATTTTGGGTAACTACCAAATGATTACCTGGATTTCTATAAGGTTTATGCAGGGGTTACAGGGTTTAGTGGCCCAAACAATTGGGTAGGGATGTGTTTATCAAATGGGACGATGGTAGGAAAACGCAAGAATGCATCGAAGGTGTGCATATTGCTCATTTACATCCAAAGAATCGGAATCAACATCCCTCCATCTAAGCTTGAAAGCAGGCTTCCAACCTGCGTGTTGGCTGCACACGATTTTTGTTCAGGTCTTCGCGCCTAGATCGTGTGACCCATTAACCAGATGCAGTTGAGGTTCTAAGAAGCATGAGGCTCGGATGGTACACAGTACCCTAGAACTACAACAAATTACCGGCTGCTGCTTAAGGTGGAGTGGGTCTCAACTAGAATCCTATTCGGAAGCGCTCAAAGTAGTACTTACGTATATTCTGTCCCTCGCCCCGCTTAAGTGCCAGTAAGCTTGACCAAAGAGGTCGTGACGAAAGGCCCCTAAACCCTAGACCCTAACCGTGTGCTTCATCGCATGCCATCCCTGACAAACCACATACCCGAGCGACCTCCTCCTGGCATTTGGTAAGCATGAATGAAGGAATGGATCTTTATAGAGCTTCCAAAAAGGGACGATTTTGGGGTATGGGGTAGATTGGGGTAGATTTCCGTCATGAGTTGAGGGCATTACCTTAGGCAGCATCATAATTAGAATCACAATTAGAATCACAGTTTTGACAACCTCCCGTCTAAAGAGAACTAGAAAGAAGCCCCTCAGGATCATCAAGGAGAAGGAGGTGGCTTTCAAACATCACCAGGCAAGTTTCGGGCTCAGGTTGGTGGAGTACGAGATGGAAGTTTACGGGTGTAGGGTGTGGGGCCCTAGCGTTTGGACTTAGTGGCTTGGGGTTGAGGGTCAGCAGGGGTAGGTTTTTTCAGATGTTTCTGCTATCCTTTGTCCCTATATACTCCCTTTAAACCCATGAACATGGATTTTACTAGGGGCCTTAAACCCTAAATCCCAAACCCCAAACCCTAAACCCTAAACCCCCCTCCAGGGTTGAATGGTTTCGGGGTTTGCAATTTAGAGCTTGGAGTGGATTTGCGCGCTTAGGATGAAATAGAATTGAAACTGGGGATAGGTAAGGGTTTAGGGTTTTGGGTTTAGGGTTTAGGGTTTAGGGTTGGGTATTGTTTTCATGGGGATCGTATTTTCCGCATATGAATTGCAAGAAGGAGGTAATCTTGCCGGGCTCAGCCTAAAAATCAGTGCTGATCTGAGTTTTCATCATGAGCCTTTCTGACCCCAATCCCTTAGAGTTTGGGGTTTGGGGATTTTGGGGTTAGGGGTGTGTCAGCCACCCGGATGAAGCACTATGTAGAAACATTGCCATCTCTTCATCCTCTTGTCAGCATAGACTTGGAATCCCAGCATGAATCGTTTGAAAGTTAGACTACCCTAGACCAAAATCCCTGGACCCTAAACCCTAAAGCCCTAGACCCTTAACCCTACATAAATGTTCCGGAATTCCCCGGCAGGGTGCATATGATAGGCAATTCACCATACCGCGGCAAGTCTAAATGTCAAGGGGTTTGGGGGGTTTAGGGATAAGGGTTTAGGATTAAGGTCCATAGGGTTTAGGGTTGAACCCTGATCGTCATCATGTCACAGTAGATCCAGAGACTCACAAGCACGATCACCAAGTGAGCTTTGGTCTAAACTTCTTCTAGGGGCTATATGGGGGAGTAAACCCTAAACCCTAAACTCAGGGATCCTCTCACAGCGCTTTTGAAAGTGGATATACTGAGTTGAGTCTATAGCTCAAGTGATGATAAAGCCTTCAGAAAGCTTACGTAATCTCAGCAACCCACCACGTACAATGGCGTTTGACACAAAAGTGGGTTGCTGTTCAGGAACTTAGTTTAGGTTGTCATACTATGAGTGTATTGTACAGAATAGGGTTTCCATATATTACAGAATCTTAACTTAAATTCCTCAAAAATAACCCAGAAAGTATAGTTCATTTTGTGGCTGCCGCAGGAAACGCTTGCCCAACTGGAACGGGATGCTGATCGCGAGATTGAGGAGCTCAAGGAAATGCCTCCTGTCGCAGACTGATTTTCCCCTAAAGCCTACAGCCTAGACCCTAATTCCCAGATCTTAAGCCCTTAAACGCGAAACCCTAAACTCCTAAATCCCTGTTCTTTGCTGCCTAGACGATGGAGAGCAGGTCCCATAAAAAAAGCCCAAACCCTAAACCAAACAGATGCTGTGATGACACGAAGCTCAGCGCACTTAGTTTTTGATGACTGCCGGCATGGGATTTCTGAGAGTCTCAGGCTTCACTACTGGCTTGCTGCTAAAGATCTTTCACGGTTAAGGTTTTAGGGGTTTATCCTTCAAGGGGGATATGTAGGGGATTACATAGGGGACTCCACAGGAAATCAGAAGGAGACTCGTGAGTGAGGGTTTAGGGTTTAGGAGGCGAGCCCAGATGCAAAAGGAGTCATCCTACTGCGCTACTTGCTTGTGCTTAATTAAGGGAGAGTGGGGGAGTGGATCCTTATAATGATCCCTATGTAATCCCCATCTACACCCCTATCATGGTACCTGTGCTCACTCCCTGCCCTTTATAAGTCCAAAATGCTATAGTGGTGCCTATTTCCACTCTTAAACCCTACACCTGAAACCCTAACCCGGTTTAGGGTTTCGGGTTTACTTAAAACAAACTCTAGTGGTACCTATATTCACTCCGACCCTCCCCCCTGAAGCCCCAGTAAGTTTATTGCTCTGAGAGATCAGTAGCCTGAAGCCCAGAGATGGGGAGAAACTTGCAAGGTAAAGCTCAAGTGATAGCCATGTAAGGTCCTAGGTTTTGGGGTTGAGGGTGTAGGGTGAAGGTCCTAGGGTTTCGGGTTTAGGGCCTGGGTTTAGGGTTCGGGGTTTAGGGACAAGTTTGGGTTGGGCCGTAAACCCCCAAATTAACATGCGGTTGCCAAAAGATGGGATCCCAACATATGTCCTATAATGGTCATCATGGGGACTCCCGAACAAGCGGCTCCTGACTTTGGGACCTTCTTCAGCTGGAAGCCCTCTGCAAAAACGATTCTCCATCTGAAGAGTCGATGGGAAGCTGATTTCGGGTTTCTTGCTTATCTTCACAAAAAGTAGCAAGACACCCCTAGGGTTACGCTCAAGCCCCGTGTCTGTATGTCCTACTTCAAGACTTTTCTACAGTTGTCGTGACTTTCATCGGGAAAGCTCCAGCACAGCAACTTGGCAGCTCAACACCCTTTGCATGGGTTTAGGGTTGAGGCCTTCATCAGTTGCACTTTGCTCGTTGCATTCCGCTCTGCAGTGCACGGCGCCCCAGGTATGAGCAGAAGCTGGCACAGGAGAAGGACGACAAGGCGCTTCGTCGCCTACCCTCTTATTCTTACCAGTATTGTTATTCGTGTTCGATTTGTAACGCATGGTCCCTGCTGTGTACCGTTTCTTGGAATCGCGCAGGGAAAATCAAGCATCGCGGTCCATGCCTGTGGGCGAATCTAATTCATTTTCACATCCATTTGAATACCCCAAATCTTAAGCCCGTAGCCCCGGACCCTAATCTCTAAAGCCCAAGCCCCCAAGAATCCCCCTAACCGTACCTGGGTAGCTACACAACCAGAAACAAGCTGGCTGTCCCCCAAAAATAGGTTGTGTAGACTACCCTAAGTAAGGCTCTTGGACCCTCAAAGTGGGATCCCAAACCTTAGCC